CAGATTGAGGCAAGAATTAATTAACATGATTAGTCATCACAAAAGGGACTTATGGAAATTGCTAGTTCTTCAAGCTAATCAGTATAAATGTGAGCCAGCAAAATTTTGGAGTAAGATCCGACAACTGTTAGGGGCAAAGCACAAGGCTCCTAACTACCTAATTCATACCTTCACTGATGATGAAGATGTTGAGATTAAACTTGATGATCCACAGGACCAGGCTAATTTGATGGGTGATGTATGGGAGAAAATTCTCTCCCACAATAACAGTCGTCGATTTAACAATAATCACTATCAGTTGGTATATGAATGGAGAGATGAGAACTTAGATGATCTACAACCACTACCTTCTATCGATACATCAACTCTTGAAGACGCCCACCCGCTTACTAGACCTATTACATTACTCGAGTTGAGTCAGGTTATTGGAAGAATGCGAAATAGAGCCCCTGGTCTCTCTGGAATAACAATGAAACAAATAAAGTTCCTACCCAGAAATTGTAAACAGTCTTTGGTTAATATCTTTAATACCATCTTGGCCTCAGGACATTTTCCAGTGGTTTTTAAGACTGCTAGGATGATCTTTCTTGCTAAGCCCAATAAAGACATCCACCAACCTGGGAACTATAGACCTATATCTTTACTTGAAGTCACTGGAAAAGTTCTTGAGAAGATCATTTCCAACAGACTGAACTACTATATGGAGTTTAATCACCTTTTTACTTTTTTTTTTTTTTTTTATTTGCTGGAATTCTCCCGGCCCGGGTCTTTTCCAAGTAGTGGTGACCCGGCCTTGGCTCCCTATCTGGGGAGTGTCTCGAGACTTAAGTCTCCCATGGGAGGAGGTACAGTACCTCCTCATCTTTGGGACCAAGTGTCCCCAGGCCTAGCCACATTCCCCGCCCTCACGGGGCTCGTAGGGAGAAGCTAGGCCTCTGGTCTGCCATCTACCCCGCCTCAAAGGGGCTCGTGGGGATGGCAGTCTTATTACCCTTTTTACTGAAAAACAATTTGGCGTTAGAACACACAGAAGTACCAATCATGCAATAAATGTTATTTTCGATACTGTAGCAAGTCTAAAACATCAGGGCAATCTTGCCTTAATTGCCACCAGAGATGTTCATAAAGCTTTTGATAGCTTATGGCATGATGGTCTTATATACAAACTCATTGACCTACCAGACCATAACTGGACTTTTCTCAGATTAATATATAATTTCTTAACTCAAAGAAAAATCATTCTCACCTTTCATGGCAGGTCGACAGAGCCTTTTATACCAACAGCTGGTGTCCCACAAGGTTCTTGTCTTAGTCCAATTCTGTTCAACATTTATGTGAATGACCTTCCTCAATCAGAGTTTAATGATACAATTATAACACAGTTTGCAGATGATGTTATTCATGTCGTCTCATCAACTCCGGTAACAGGAAAATACAAGTATGAGAGAGTCATAGAAAAAATGAATATTGAACTTCGTCGAACATCTAATTGGGAAAAGAAATCGAGAATTACGACTAATCCTGACAAAGTCCTTGTTAGCACAATAGGATGTTTTGCATCAACAATCGGAGATAAAGGGGGTATCTCCATCAGAGGTACACCTGTAGCCATTAGAAACCCTAACAAGATCTTGGGATACGAAATAGACAGGCTGCTCCACTCAACATATCATGTAACTAAAAAGATCAACATAGCCAAAGCCGGTCTTAGCAGTCTCTTTCGATTCAATCAAGCCCCTCCACATGTCAAAAAACATCTGTATAAGGTGGGGATATAGTTTTGGAGTGGTTGGTGCAATTATTTAATAAATGTATGGAAGAGGGTAAGGTACCTAGGGATTGGCAGAGAGCATGCATAGTTCCTTTGTATAAAGGCAAAGGGGATAAAAGAGAGTGCAAAAATTATAGGGGGATAAGTCTGTTGAGTGTACCTGGTAAAGTGTATGGTAGAGTTATAATTGAAAGAATTAAGAGTAAGACGGAGAATAGGATAGCAGATGAACAAGGAGGCTTTAGGAAAGGTAGGGGGTGTGTGGACCAGGTGTTTACAGTGAAACATATAAGTGAACAGTATTTAGATAAGGCTAAAGAGGTCTTTGTGGCATTTATGGATTTGGAAAAGGCGTATGACAGGGTGGATAGGGGGGCAATGTGGCAGATGTTGCAAGTGTATGGTGTAGGAGGTAGGTTACTGAAAGCAGTGAAGAGTTTTTACGAGGATAGTGAGGCTCAAGTTAGAGTATGTAGGAAAGAGGGAAATTTTTTCCCAGTAAAAGTAGGCCTTTGACAAGGATGTGTGATGTCACCGTGGTTGTTTAATATATTTATAGATGGGGTTGTAAGAGAAGTAAATGCGAGGGTCTTGGCAAGAGGCGTGGAGTTAAAAGATAAAGAATCACACACAAAGTGGGAGTTGTCACAGCTGCTCTTTGCTGATGACACTGTGCTCTTGGGAGATTCTGAAGAGAAGCTGCAGAGATTGGTGGATGAATTTGGTAGGGTGTGTAAAAGAAGAAAATTAAAGGTGAATACAGGAAAGAGTAAGGTTATGAGGATAACAAAAAGATTAGGTGATGAAAGATTGAATATCAGATTGGAGGGAGAGAGTATGGAGGAGGTGAACGTATTCAGATATTTGGAAGTGGACGTGTCAGCGGATGGGTCTATGAAAGATGAGGTGAATCATAGAATTGATGAGGGAAAAAGAGTGAGTGGTGCACTTAGGAGTCTGTGGAGACAAAGAACTTTGTCCTTGGGGGCAAAGAGGGGAATGTATGAGAGTATAGTTTTACCAACGCTCTTATATGGGTGTGAAGCGTGGGTGATGAATCTTGCAGGTAGGAGAAGGCTGGAAGCAGTGGAGATGTCATGTCTGAGGGCAATGTGTGGTGTGAATATAATGCAGAGAATTCGTAGTTTGGAAGTTAGGAGGAGGTGCGGGATTACCAAAACTGTTGTCCAGAGGGCTGAGGAAGGGTTGTTGAGGTGGTTCGGACATGTAGAGAGAATGGAGCGAAACAGAATGACTTCAAGAGTGTATCAGTCTGTAGTGGAAGGAAGGCGGGGTAGGGGTCGGCCTAGGAAGGGTTGGAGGGAGGGGGTAAAGGAGGTTTTGTGTGCGAGGGGCTTGGACTTCCAGCAGGCATGCGTGAGCGTGTTTGATAGTGAATGGAGACAAATGGTTTTTTAATACTTGACGTGCTGTTGGAGTGTGAGCAAAGTAACATTTATGAAGGGATTCAGGGAAACCGGCAGGCCGGACTTGAGTCCTGGAGATGGGAAGTACAGTGCCTGCACTCTGAAGGAGGGGTGTTAATGTTGCAGTTTAAAAACTGTAGTGTAAAGCACCCTTCTGGCAAGACAGTGATGGAGTGAATGATGGTGAAAGTTTTTCTTTTTCGGGCCACCCTGCCTTGGTGGGAATCGGCCAGTGTGATAATAATAAAAAAAAAAAAACCTATACTCGAATACCCATGTGTCCCAATGACATTAACAACAAAGACCAACATGCTACAGTTACAACGGGTCCAGAATAGAGCTCTTCGCTTCATTACAGGTACCAGGAGGAGAGACAGAGTTAAAATGGCAGATTTACACGTACAACAAGATATAACTGCCTTAAATGTACGCCTTGACACCCTGAAAAAGAAATAACTCTATACAATGCAAGAACTATACATGCCAGATAGAGAACATCCTATACAAGTTGTAAATACCACAGATTATATCATCAATACTCCTCCTCACAGGACTCAAAAAAATGACTCTCCCACAGAGGGTCCGTCGTTTTATCCATAAAGATGATTACCATCGACCCATGATATTGAGCAACCTCCCTGAAGAAGAAGATTGGGTAACACCAGAACCCTTCTATGTTTACTGAGAAAATCATCACCCCCAATTAGGGAGACATCTTATATAACAATCTACTGTAAAAATTATGCTATATTTACTATGGCGGGACACCACCTGTAAGAAGCCATTGTCAAGTAATTCTTTATAAACTGGCCAGGAAATTATTTCCTTCATTGTCGCTTAAATATCCGTTGTGCAATCGCAAAAAAAAGGCAATTGCAACTTGTATATTTACTACCAATTCAGAGTCATGTACTTATATATCTGTTATATTTATGTGACTGATGGTTAGTATTATACCCCTTTAAGAATATCTTATTATCTCACATACACTTTTTAAATTACACCCAAGTGGTTGGGCCACTTACCTTTTATATCCTACCTCTCTCCCCCCTCCCACCCTTTTCCAATATTTCTATCCTTACCCATCCTTCTTCCTTACCCATCTTACCGAAGCTCTGGTCATAAGAAGAAGAGTTGATGTGTCAGCGGATGGGTTTATGAAGGATGAGGTTAACCATAGAATTGATAAAGGAAAAAAGGTCAGTGGTGCGTCGAGATATATGCGGAGACAAAAAATGTTATGTATGGAGGCAAAGAAGGGAATGTACGAAAGTATAGTGGTACCATCTCTCTTAATGGGTGTGAAGCTTGGGTTGTAAATGCTGCAGCAAGGAGGCAGTTGGAGGCAGTGGAGATGTCCTGTCTAAGGGCAATGTGCGGTGTAAATATTATGCAGAAAATTCGGAGTGTGGAAATTAGGAGGTGTGGAGTCAATAAAAGTATTAGTCATAGGGCTGAAGAGGGGTTGTTAAGGTGGTTTGGTCATTTAGAGAATGGATCAAAGTAGAATGACATGGAGAGTATATAAATCTGTAGGGGGAGGAAGGCGAGGTAGGGATCGTCCTCGAAAAGGTTGGAGGGAGGGGGTAAAGGAGGTTTTGTGGGTGAGGGGCTTGGACTTCCATCAAGCTCGTGTGAGCTTGTTAGATAGGAGTGTATGGAGACAAATGGTTTTTGGGACCTGACGAGCTGCTGGAGTGTGAATATTAGTATAATATTGTTAACTATTTGATGTCAGTTATGTAATAGGATTTTGAAATTTTTGGTGGTATGGTAATGAAATATTCTCTCATTTTGAACAGTCAAAAACTGATGTTCGTATAAGCAAAGCACTGTCTTGGTTACTCCGTCATGGGGCTGAGAAGGAAGGCTTGATTCTTGGTACAGGAGGTTGGGCCAAACTGGAGGATGTTCTTCGGAAACCAACTTTTAAGAAAGTTAGTGGTTTCTTTGTTCTATTTTTAAATTCGAATGATTGCATGTTACCAAACTTTAAGTACAAGTAAATAAAAGCCTTGCTACTATATGAGAGTAATGTTATCTTTAATTTGAAAATTTATAAAACTTGCTGAATACCTGTATATTCTCCTGCTTTACATTATGAGTATGGTATTTTAATAATTTAACACTGAAATGTATTTGATATAAGGAAGTTATATGCTCATTCTTTTATCCAGGTTAAAGTTGATAAGGTTAAGGAGATAGTGGCTAACTGCCCCAAACAGCGCTTTGCACTTAAAGAAGAGAATGGTGAATTTTACATCAGGGCCAATCAGGGACATTCAATCCAGGTACATCATAGATTCACTGTAATTTGGGTTCATTTAATGTTAACATCTTACCTTTGTTTATGTACTAGGTATTATAGTAAAAATCTGTATATCAAATTTTTACCAGATATCTCAGTAACTTGTTGTCTTTACCTACTTTCATCATTTCACTGTTTCTGTATCTTCAGTCTTTCATTTCTGCTACATTTACACCAGTGTTCCTAACAAGTGATCATTTTTTTTAGTTCAACACACCAAAAAAACCACAAGTTGTTCAGTGTTTTCAGTTTTCTCTATATAATTCTGTTTAGAAAAATACCTCTGTCTGGAACACAAGTTTTATTTGCTCTGCTGTGGAAGAATGGAGGAAATAGACTAACAGAGTACAGGACAAACTCAGATTATTCAATAGAGCAAAAGTCCCATGTGTGAGACTTGGGAGTAATGATGTCAGATGATCTTGCATTCAAGGATCACAACAGCGTTGCCATTGCTACTGCTAGGAAAATGATAGGCTGGATAACAGAATGTTCAAGACAAGTGATACCGAGCCAGTGATAATACTTTTTGTCACTTGTTTTCTCCAGACAGGAATGCTAATGTATACAGATGTCTCCTTTCAAGGAAATCTGATTGCTGAGATAGAAAATGTACAGAGAACTTTCATTCCTTGTATACACTCAATCAAGCATCTGAACTACTGAGAATGCTTAAAGTCCCTTCAGCTGTATTCCTTGGAATACAGCTGAAAGGGGGGGGGGTTCGATGGATTGCATTTTTTAGACTGCAAGAAGGCGTTCGATACTGTATCCCACCGTAGGCCGGGCCAAAACCTTGAGATTCAGGTAGAAGTCCCTCGTAGTTCTACGTGATGAACTAAGCTCTCAGAAAAGCTGTGAGTGGTAATTTTGGCCTAGATATGAGAGAATGGGTCTGCATAGTGAGTGTGCACAGTGTAAAAAAATTCTACTTGATGTGATACATGATGGGAAAAGCAAAACTTTGACCTAGTGTTTGGTTTAAAATAGCAAAAATGAGGTATTTTTTAGGATAGGTTTTGTAGTTTTATTTGCTGTTTCTTGGTATCTTTTGAATAGAGTGAAAGACATGTTACTGAAACAGAGGTGATTTTTGTTGGTTCCAGGACCAGAAGTAGCTTGAAATTGGCCTCAAATTATTGGAAACATTCAAATTTTGCTGATTATCCTGAGGACAGGTAAGGCTCTCTTACACCTCTGGTCTATTTTATAGGTTTTTAATAGAGCTGATTCAATTACTGGGACACTGTAAACCATGACCAGTCATTCTTGCATTCCTACGACAGTGTTGGTAAACAATTTTGTCACTAAGTGAGGAGCATACTATAATGGTAATGGGTTTGTGTCAACCATCTTTGATATTGTTTTAATGTCACCTTGGCACCATTTATAACATTTCTGGTATATATTTAAATGTTTATACATTAGTGTACCAGGGATGTGCAATGTCACCATGGTTGTTTAATATATTTATAGATGGGGTTGTAAAAGAAGTAAATGTTAGGTTGTTGGGGAGAGGTGTGGGATTAAATTATGGAGACTCAAATACAAATTGGGAGTTGACAGTTACTTTTTGCTGGCGATACTGTGCTTATGGGAGATTCTAAAGAAAAGTTGCAAAGGTTAGTGGACAAGTTTGGGAGGGTGTGTAAAGGTAGAAAGTTGAAAGTGAACATAGATAAGAGTAAAGTGATGAGGGTATCAAACAATTTAGATAAAGAAAAATTGGATATCATATTGGAGAGAGTGAGTATGGAAGAAGTAAATGTTTTCAGATAGTATTTGGGAGTTGACTTGTCAGTGGATGGGTTTATGAAGGATGAGGTTAACCATAGAATTGATGAAGGTAAAAAGGTAAGTGGTGTGTAGAGGTATCTTTGGAGGCAAAGAAGGGAATGTATGAAAGTATAGTGGTACCAACACTTATGTGGGTGTGAAGCTTGGGTTGCAAATGCTGCAGCGAGGAGGTGGCTGGAGGCAGTGGAAATGTCTTGTCTAAGGGCAATGTGTGGTGTAAATATTATGCAGAGAATTCGGAATGTGGAAATTAGGAGGAGGTGTGGAGTTAATAAAAGTATTAGTCAGAGGGCTGAAGAGGGGTTGTTGAGGTGGTTTGCTCATTTAGAGAGAATGGATCAAAGTAGAATGACTTGGAGAGCATATAAATCTGTAGGGGAAGGAAGGCGGGGTAGGGGTCATCCTCGAAAGGGTTGGAGTGAATTATTATTATTATTATAATCAAGGGGGAAGCAGTAAAAGAGGTTTTGTGGGTGAGGGGGCTTGGACTTCAAGCAAGCATGCGTGAGCGTGTTAGATAAGATTGAATGGAGACGAATGGTTTTTGGGCCCTGACGAGCTGTTGGAGTGTGAGCAGGGTAATATTTAGTGAAGCGATTCAGGGAAACCGGTTAGAGTGTTCTGGAAATGGGAATTACAGTGCCTGCACTTTATTGGAGGGGTTTGGGATGTTGGCAGTTTGGAGGGACTTCTAAACTGTTGTATCCGAGTGCCTCTGCAAAGACAGTGATTATGTATGAGGTGAAAGTGTTGAATGATGATGAAAATATTTTCTTTTTGGGGATTTTCTTTCTTTTTTAGTCACCCTGCCTTGGTGGGAGACGATCAGAGTGTTGAAAAAAAAAACTGTAATGAACAGAATAGTGGAAACTAGCTCTAATATACATTATTTAGGTATGCATACCGGTCAGAGAGCCTGTCATAAGTCCGAGTCATCCGTAAATGAGTATGTCGCTAAGTGAGGAGAGGCTGTATTTTATTATCCTGGAATTAGAGGAAATTTATTTTTATGTGATTATGAATTCAATATGGAAGGCAAGTGTCATGTAGGAGAGGCCTGGGGATGTGACTAATTAACATTGGAAATGTTTGGGTATACCAAGAATGTCTGCATTGTTTATTTTGCACTTTATTTTTAAATTTTTTTACTTTTTTTTTTATTTTGTTTAAATTTGGCCAAGTTTCCAACTTCTGTGCACTTTATATTGTAGTTGCAATAGTTAAATGAGCAATTTCTTGTGCTTCATCAATAGAATGGAAGGGAAAACAGCTAAGAATTTGGTTGAATGGAGCAATGGAATTGACTTAAAATAGGACTCAAAATGCCAAGACTGCTAAGTTTGTATGTGCATAATTCTGAAAGTTTTCCATCAGATTTTGTATCTTTGGTGTCATTAGCTTCAGAGAAAGATTTTCTACCATTTTATAGGATTTTTTTTTTTTTAGAAGTGGACACTGTGAGCAATATTAATTTTGGGGGTCTAGTAAACCTTTTGAATTGCTGTAAATAACCCTAATGATGCCTCCCACTTAAAATGATGATTGTGTTTATTATACCTTGCTTAACCCTTTCAGGGTCGACAGGCTCTGTCAGAGACTTGTTCTCAGGGTCGGCCAAATTTAAAAAAAAATATATATTTTTCTTATGAAAACATAGAGAATCTTTTCCCGATTATAATGACACCAAAAGTATGAAATTTGATGGAAAACTTACGGAATTATGCTCTCGCGAAGTTATCAGTCTCGATGATGTTTACGCATAGGCGATTTTGCCCACTTTGAGCCCTATTTTCGACCAATTCCAGTGTACTTGTCAACAAAAATCATAACTATTTTGCTAGAACTCATTTTTTTCTGTTGAATGAGTACAAGAAACCACACATTTACCGATTTCAACTATCCAATGCAGTGGTCAGAATTTAGCAATTTTGCCAATTTCACACAAATTTCAAAAGATGCCAATTTCCGAATAGGGTCCAGAATAAACAAGAAAGACATTCCTGGCACTAAAATAGCATTTCCTCTGTTCATTAGTCACGTCCCCACGCCCCTCTTACATTCTTTTGCTTTCCACTTTGAATTTTTATTCTCACAAAAAATAGAAGATTTACTGTTATGCAGACTACTGCATTAGTGTAGAAATGGTATATATAATATCAGCGCACTTGTGAAAGAATATTAGACTCGCCAGTTGACTTGTATTGGACGTATAGCATGATTTGTTTACTTTTGAACTTTGGTAAAAATTGAACATTTCTGCTACTTTGAGCTCAATTTCAAGGTACTTTTCTTTGTAAAACCAGTCAAAATCATCTCAATTTCTGTAATATGTCTTCCATTCTATCAAATGAGACTAGGAAAACTAGAATACAACAATAAATACCATACGAAATACAGTGCAAAGTCGCTGTTTTAATCCAAAAACACGGTCAAAGTTTTTTTTCTCATTACGCACTGTGTGCTACAGGATTTTTTTTATACCACGCACACTGACCACATAGACCCATTCTTTCATATGTAGGCCTACCAGCTTTCTCTCACTAGATTTGAGGGCGCTAGAATTTAGGCGTACTAGTACGCCAAAAACCCTGGTGCATAAGCCGTAATAGTACGGCCGAAACCCTGAAAGGGTTAATTGTGTAAACTAAAAAAAATTAAAGGGAAAGTGTCTTAAGTATTTTTAGTCATTTTCCAGAACCCTTATTTATTTGAATTTAATTTGATGTGAATAATAATTTTTTTAATAGGATTTTCATTTAATCCATAGGAGTTACTAGACTGATTGATTTCTTTCCAGGTTGATGACTTAGACCTTGAGGAGATAACCATTGCCAGTGATGCAGAGTCTGTAGTTCATGGTACATATTATCGGCACTGGAACAGTATCAAAGAACAAGGTCTTTGTCGTATGAACCGCACACACATACATTTTGCACCAGGTCTTCCTGGAGAAGCAGGGGTCATCAGTGGTATGCGTTCATCCTGTCAGATATTCATATATGTGGATCTTGCCAAAGCTTTAAGAGGTAGGTTTATTGCTCTGTCTTGACTTCTGCCTCATTCCTTTAAGAGTTTATCTTTGAGGATGGTAGCCTTGAGCAAAAATTTTCTGACATTAACTACCCTCCAGTATTAACCCTTTGACTGTTTACGTCGTAGTATATATACGTCTTATGCGCCACTGTTTCTGACATATTTATATGCGTAAATTCTAGAGGCTTCAAATCAAGCAGGAGAAAGCTGGTAGGCCCACATGTGAGAGAATGGGTCTGTGTGGTCAGTGTGCACCCCAAAAATAATCCTGCAGCATGCAGTGCATAATGCGAAGAAAAAAAAAAACTGAGTTTTTTTTTTTGGAGTAAAACGCCGACTTTGAGGTGTATTTACATATAGTATTTATCGTTGTATTCTCGTTTTTATGGCCTCAGGTGACAAAATGGAAAACATATTACAGGAATAGAGATGATTTTCATTACTTTCATGATGAAAACGACCTCGAAATTGAGCTCAAAGTAGCGGAAATGTTCGATTTTTACCAATGTTCAGGAGTAAGCAAATTACACCACACATCCAGTACACGTCAACTGGGGAGTCTAATATTCTTTCACTAGTGCACTGATATTATTTATACCATTTTTACAATAATGCATTAGTCTGCAAAACAGTAAATGTTGTATTTTTTTGTATGAATAAAAAATCAAAATAGAAAGCAATAGTAATATAAGAGGGGCCTAGAGACGTGACTAATGAACAGAGGATATGTTATTTTAGTGCCAAGAATGTCTACATTGTTTATTCTGGACCCTATTTTGAAATTGGCATCTTTTTTAATTTGCGTGAAATTGGCCAAATTGCTAATTTTTGACCACTTTATTGGGTAGTTCAAATTGGTAAATGGGCAGTTTCTTGTACTCAACTGATAGAAAAAATAGAGTTCTAAAGAAATAGCTATGAGTTTGGTCAACTGGAACAACGGAATTGGCCAAAAACAGGGCTCAAATTCAGTGAAATTGCCGATGCGTATATGTCGCTGAGACCGCTAACTTCGTGGGAGCGTAATTCCGTGAGTTTTCGACCAAATTTCGTACTTTTGGTGTCATTACCATCGGGAAAGATTCTCTGTCATTTCATAAGAAAAATAATTTTTTTTTCCAAAACTTTTGTGACATAGAATGAGTTTCAGAAAGGGGCTTGCGAGAGTCAAAGGGTTAAGGTAATTTGCTGTGGTTGAGCTCCATGCACAAATACCATAGGTGAGGTGAGGGTAAATGAGAGAGTGGTACAAAGCTTGAAGAGTTGATTGGAGTACATAGTACCTTATCTTTGAAAGGATGCCTACTTTTTTGGAGACTTTCTTGGAAATTTACTGTATGTGTGTCTGAAATTTGAGACTGCAGTCAAGGTAGAGACCTAGAAATTTGCCCTCTGCCTGTCTCGAGATAGGTGAACCATTTATTAATATGTTTAGCTGTACATTTGAAGCTCTGTTTCCGAAAAGCATGAATAGCTTTTGTCTATATTGAGAGTAAGTTTGTTGGTAATCATCCAGTAGATATTTTTAGCAGCTCAGCAATTAGTGTGTCTGTTAGTATGGTTGGGTTTGGGTGAGAAAAGACATAAATTGTGTCATCTGCAAATAAAATGGTTTAAGGAGATTAGATGCGTTTGGTAGGTCATTGATGTAAACGAGAAAGAGTAGTGGGCCAAGAATGCTTCCTTGTGGGACTCAACAAGACCAGGTTGTGTAGTGGAACTGGCTCTATTTGTGTATACATATTGGGTTCTATTGTTAAGATGAGATTTTAGGTAATTGAGAGTGTGTCCTCTGACCCTGTAATATTAGAGTTTTTGGTGCAAAAGGTCATGATCACCTGTATCAAAAGCTTTTCGTAAGTCTATGAACAGTTCCAGGGGAAATTAATTTTTCTTGAGTGCAGAGTATATTAGTTCAAGCATATATATAATGGCATCATTAGTACTTTTTTTTTTTTTTTGGTCTGAACCTAAACTGACAAGGGTTGAGTATGTTGTAGGATATGAAGTAGGAGTAGACTTGTTTGTGTATTAATTTTTTGAAGATTTTTAGATAGTAGGGACAGGTTTGATATAGGCCTACAATTGTTCAGTTCAGTTGGCTCACTTCCTTTGAGGATTGGGGTGACTCTTTCTGTCTTGAGTATGGGTGGGAAGGTGGAAGATTCAATGGATTTGTTAAAAAGAGTTCCAATAATTGGTGACAACATATGAGAAGCTTTTTTTGTACATGAGTGGTGGCAAGTTATTTAGGTCCCCTGTCTGTTCTTTAGTGTTTTGATGATAAGCGAGATTTTAGTAGAGTAGTATTAGGGTAGTTGCCAGTGAGGTAATCTTTTGGTTGAATGTTTGAACTTCGGATTTTACTCGCTAGTTTTGTTCCTACGGTAGAGAAAAGGACTGTTTTGGTCGTATATAAAGGTCTTACGAGCCAATGTGTTTGACGTATATATACTCAAAAATTCTGGCGGCTTCAAATCAAGCAGGAGAAAGCTGGTAGGTCCACGTGTGAGAGAATGGGTCTGTGTGGTCAGTGTGCTCAGTACAAAAAAAAAAATCCTGCAGCACGGAGTGCATAATGAGAGAAAAAACTACGACCGTGTTTTTGGATTAAAACGCTGAATTTGAGGTGTATTTTCGTTTAGAATTTATGGTTGTAGTATTCTTGTTTTCTTGGTCTCAATTGATAGAATGGAAAACATATTATAGAAATAAAAGTGATTTTGATTGGTTTTACTATGAAAAGGATCTTGAATTGGAGCTCAAAGTGGCAGAAATGTTCAATTTTTGCCGATGTTCAAGAGTAAACAAATGTCCAATAAATGTCCAACTAGCCATTCAGATATGCAGTCACGAATGGGTTGACATTATTTATACAGTTATTACAATATTGCAGTAGTCTGCATAAAAGTAAATCTTCTATTTTTTTGTGTGAATAAAAATTCAAAATAGAGAGCAAGACTATTATAACAGGGGCCTGGAGACGTGGTTGATGAATAGAGAAAATGTTATTTTAGTGCTAGGAATGTCTGCATTGTTCATTCTGGACCGTATTTTGAAATTGACATATTTTTTAATTTGCATTGAATTGGCCAAATTGCCAATTTCTGACCAGTTTATTGGGTAGTTAAAGTCAGTAAATGGGCAGCTTCTTGTACTCAATTGATAGAACAAATGAAGTTCTAAAGAAATAGCTATGAGTTTGGTGGACCGGAACAATGGAATTGGCTGAAAATGGCTCACAGTGGGCGAAATCGCCTATGTGTAAATGTCGCCGAGGTTGCTAACTTTGTGAGAGCATAATTCCGTAAGTTTTCCATCAAATTTCGTACTTTTGGTGTCATTATCGTCGGGAAAAGATTCCCTATCATTTCATAAGAAAAAAGATTTTTTTTTTTTTTTTTTTTTTTTTTCAAATATTTTGTGACACCAGGTGACACATCAGGATTTGGGGTTGCAACAGTCAAAGGGTTAAGTTTGTTGGCAGTATCGGTTGGATGTAGGAGAGGTTCGTCTGGTTTAATTAAGTTAATCATTCTGTTTTGTGACAGCTTTTTTGATCCTAGAATTTCAGATAAGGTTTTCCAGGTCTTTTTCATATCACCTTTTATGTCATGAAATCTGTTTTCATAATACAGTTTTTTGGACCTCCTTATTAGATTTGTTAGTATTGACGACTAACGTTTTGTGAGATCATTTGTTATTAAACCCATTCTGTACTGTTTTTCATATATGTAGATGTTTTTCATCCATAGATTTGAGGATGCTGTTTGTAAACCAGGGGCTGTTTAGTCTCTTTGCTGTAATCTGCTTAGTTTTTATTGGGCAATGCATGTTGTAGAGGTTTTGGGTTTTTTGTAAAAAAATATTAACACATTCATCAACATCAAAGTTGTCTGCTAGCTCATTTTGCCAGTCAGTGTCACTAAATACTGAAATAAAGTTATTAACAGATGACTCGTCATGTAGTCGGGATGTGATCTTAGTTGTGTCTTGGGGCACTTTACACAAGTTGGTTATGAGGAAGATGGGATAGTGGTCAGTGGTGTTATCTGTGATTATGCCTGCTTTTAACGGGGCTATAGTGTTTGTCCAGATATGGTCTAGTAATGAGGCATTTATGTCTGTTGGTAGAAGTAAGCAGCTGTTCATAGTGTTTGTGAACTCAGTCACTTGTGAGTTGTGGTCATGGATGAGATTTATGCTGAAGTTCCCTGTAAGTATTAGGTGGTGTTTGTTCATTTCAGTGCTAGTTATTATGTTTCTGAGTTGTTCACTAAAAGAGTAAATATTAAAGTGAGGAACTCTAGAAATTGCTCTGACTGTTAGAGGTTTTGTAAGGTCTTTGGATTTAAATTTAGCAAAGGTATATTCACCATGTTCATCCCTTGTGCAAGTAGAATTTATACACTCGAATTCATCAGAGTAATGTATATAGTTCCACCTCCTAATTGATCAGGCCTACAATTGTGTATGGCTGTGTAGCCAGGCATGGAATAGATGTTTGTAACATCATGTTTTAGCCATGTTTCAGTGAGAGTAATGATAGACAAACTGACATTTATAGAATTCAGTAGTGCTTGGAGGTCATCGTAGTGCTTGCTTAGTGATCTGATATTATAATTGAATACTGTTATGTTATTGTTGGCACTGAGTAGTGTCTTAGCCTGACTAGCAGTATAATAAAGGCAATTGTTGTTAGGATCGTGTGTGTCATTTAATAAAAGGTTAATGTCGGGATCAATGTTTGCAATCGTATGACTAACGCAAGTTTAACAATGTATAAATAGTATAAAGATAACTGTTAATATTGCACTGGAGGTGATACGAGAGCTTATACAAGCAGTACAAAGTGTAGGTTGCAGAAGAACTATTCTAAAGATTGCACGAATACTAAACAAGTAATAATAATAAAAAAATATGAAGTTAAAATATGGCAAAAAATGGTCTTAAATAAAATTTAAATAGTAAGATTTGACTTAAAGCACAAAAT